AATATGCCGGCACACTTATGAAGTCACTGGCCGATGAATGCCATGAAGATGCCACGATAATGCTATGGGATGCTACCGAGATGCCAGACTGGCTGTAAAAGCCTGTAACATCCCATGGCGGCTGCTACTGTTTCATGGAAGCAATGCTGATTATTGGTAAACAAGATGTCAGGATAGTTATGAGCGACTGGCTTTTAGTAAATAAGTTATTTCAATAATTTTTGTTTTTGCATTAACAAAAAGTATTAGACCCAAAATATAAAGTGACTGGATACTTCAGATGTAAAGAAAGGATGGCAAAGAGTCACTGGACAAACAGTCGGTGTATTATACAGTGAGAGATCTTATATACATATATACATCTGTATGGAAACAGGTAAAATAATATATGACAAGTCTATATCACATTTTATGAATAGCTTAGCTAGACAGGTAACAAATACAACATTACATTTTTTTAAATGCAATTAAAACAATGCTCAATTTTACCATCACATTAATGAAATTAAATATAGAGCAGAACTAATGCTGAAAAACTACTTCCTGCTTCGTTCATCTTTAATACGTAGAATTGACCCCTAAAGTGGTGTCTTCACAGGTCTGCCTAAAAAGTAGATCAGACTGATCTAGATGCTGCTGCCTGCGTCCTCACTAGAACTATGAAAGTAGATCACATCAGCCCAGTTTTAAAGTCCTTCCTCTGGCTCCCCATATCTCAGAGAATACACTTTGAAATCCTTCTGTTAGTAAGAAGTCACTGAAAGGCGGAGCTCTACAATACATTATAGACTGGTTGGCAGGGGATCGACAGCCACACCTCTTAGGTCTATAGGAGCAGAATCAAACATGAAGAAGCAGCTTTTAGTCCTGCACCAATAATCTGGAATAATTTCCCATAAAACTGGAAAAGACCTGACAGCCTGAGTTGGTTTAAACCCGGATTAAAAACATATTAGTGTAGAGCTGCCTTTGACAGAAATATAAACAATAGTATTTAAGTGTGTCGTCAAACTGTCTGTCGGTATAATTCCTGAAAGTGCTTTGTAAGTATAGGTGGAAGTTATTGTCATGGTTGATTGGAGGTTTTTAAGGTCCCAAGTGCAGAGATCAAGAGGCAGAGTTGAATCTTGTAGATTTAGGGAGTCAACTGAGGCAAAAATTCAAAATACAAGAAATACAAAGAAACTAATAAATTAAATTAAAGAGTGGGCAGAACCATGGCAGTTGTATCTAAGACCACCTCCTCTGTTGAGAGATGGTTTTTCCAGCTTAACAAACATGACTTCCTTAACCCCTCTCTCTAACCATCTATCTTCTTGGCCAGAATATGGACGCTGTTGTCCTCAAACGAATGTCGTCCCTCCGGCACTGAGCCATGGTAGGCTTATGGAAGCTCATTGGTAGAATTCCCTTATGACAGAAAGAAGGCCACGATTCACACCATCTAATCATCCG